ACTAAGCACTTCCCTTCCATATAATCAGTACCTCTGCTAAAGAACAAACATGGGCTTGCACATCGAATAATATCAGGGTTATGGTTAGTATCATCACTGGCAATGATTTCTACCTTAAGAGAGTATCATTATTTAAAAATAGGCAAAACAATAAAGAAAAAAAGGTCAAAACAAGATTTTTCACAAGATGTACATCTCTTTGCTAGACTATTTGGAGCTGCTTTCCTAAAAAGTGAGCAGACTGATGAATATTAAAAATAATTACCTATCTCACAAACAGAGAACTTCAACAGTAGAGACTTAAAGCCAATACATGGTATCTAAATATGATGAATACACTTTTGAGTGAAAAAAAACTTTAGAGATCATTTAAATTAGTATCAAAATCATATTCCAACTTTCTTCTCATTGTTTACTGCTACAGAAGCAAATATGAGGCCTTGCCTAGCAAATAAGAAACTTTATTAGTTTAAGTCCCCAAAAGTTTATAGAGCAGTGCTAGTTACATGATACTCCGAATTGGGGGAAACATTTTGTATCATCAGAGAATTGGGCTTGCCTTTATTTTGCATGGGCACATTTCAAGATCATGCCGCTGTGATCTCTGGTGGCTCAAGATTCAAATGCAGTAGAAGAGACAACCTCTTCAAAGATCAGCTCTGATGGATGTAGCTTGGATACACATATCCATGTCTCAGTCAACCCCTCTGTCAGACAAAACAATGTGTTAATTTTCTATGTCAGGTTGAGACGTCTTTCTTTGGGTTTTGTTAAAGATTTGCCTCAGCCGAATCACAGAAACAGAGTTAGGATGCTGAGGAAGGAAGACCATGAGACCAAAGCCAGCCTGCAACACAGCAAAACCCTTCTCAAAAGCAACAGCAACAATACAAATCACAGGCCAATGCATACAGTCCACTGTAGAGTTGAACACACAAGAGGGACAAAATAAGAAAACATTTCTTGGAAGAGTCTTCTGGGGTTAATCTTAAAAGTAAAAGCAATGAGGTGGATGAACCTGCTCATCCGGTGGAGATGTTGCATGAATGAAAGGCTCTCCGTAACGTTTGCACAGCATTTTGCCTGTTGCCCGGTCTGCGCAGCAGAAACGGGTTGAGTGAGGTGTCCTGCGAAGGGGAACGGTGCGAACGTCGGCCTCATGTTGTGAGTCTTGCTCGGACACTTCCTTCACTACCAGACTCAAACCCTCCACAGAACCATTGACCTTGTTCAGAAAGAAAGCCCCGTCTCTTCTGAAACTTCTAATTCTTCTCTCCAAAGACAGTGCTTCTGTGAAGTAACTCTAATGCCTGCCTCCGACTTTCCTACAGCATGTTTTAGAACCTTGATTGACATAGCCCTGTAGAAAGGGAATTCCACTTAGCAGTTCTTTTCTCCTTTTCGTGCACACAGCTGTTATACCTCATGTCTGGAAAAAAAAAATCAAAGATGGCTTTTGTATGTCTGCATGATAACATCCTAAAACTTAAAAGAATCACCCTTGAAGGTAACAATATTCAGTGTTTTACTTACTGTTACTTCCCTAATAGCTCGATTTGAAAGGTTTAGTTTATTTCTGTTTCTTCTTCTTCTCTTTAAAATAAAAAAATTCAGTCTTAAGCATGATTAAAAATAGATTCAAATTTTTTCAGTAGTTTTTCGTTACAAACTAAATCGATTAATTGCCAATGCCTTAAAAAGTTGAGCTCTTACTTTTTAATTTCAGAAGTGAACATCAAACAATATATGTGGTATAGATTATACTGCATAATTTAATATTTAATGTTAAGTATACATGATCCATGCTGGTAAATTTAACTTAGGATATATACTCCTTTAACTCAAGTCAGCTTATTAGGGAATAGAACATTTTTAAACCTGTAAATATTGTATATGAATCTGTTAACTACAGTTTTTATTCAGGTGATGCCTTTAGACTGAGTCAAGCTAGAGATAACAGGTAACTAAGCTCTGCGCTATTAAGTCGCATTCACCCCTTTGTGTCAAACTGACTATGGGAAAAGTGAGAAAGGGAGAGACGAAACACATACAAACATGACACAACCACGTACACACCCATTAGGGAGGGTGGTGAGACTGAGCTTCCCTCCAGGATCCCCGTTTACATGTGTTTGAATAACTGCAGGATCCACTTTGCCCACTTGTTGAGTCATCGAGACAGAGCTTAGAATGTTTTGTGTTTCTTTTTTAAAATTTTATTTGAAAGAGAAAAGAACAAAAACAAAGACAAAAACAACACAAAAACAATAAAAGGTACAGAATTTCAAAAGAAGATGATAGGAAATTAACAACGGTCGTTGTATTACATGTTGTTATCTTCCAAGTAGTTGCTCAGATTACCAGATATAGAGATGCAATATTGATCAAACAATTAAACATTAACTGTTCCTTTCAATAAACCAACAGAAATTAGCAGTACAATTATCTTAGCTATCTTGT